GTACATTTTGGGTGAAAGGAAGCATTCAAAACTCTAAATGCAGTCATTAAATTTATATATGTGTCTATAAAGATTTTTGTGTGTTTGTTTATTTTGCAGAAAAATTCGATCTAAATATGGAAATTTGTATGGAAAACTTGTCAGTTTTTCCAAAATATCGCAACCAGATTCATCTGTAGAGCATTTAAACTTCGGTCTGCGAAAGATAGCCGTCTCTTGCTGGTTTTTCTTTGTATCTGCTGGTATTTACCCTCTCATTCTCTCCCTCTCTCTCTCTCCCTCTCTCTCTCCCTCTCTCTCTCTTGTTTTGTGTGCTTATCTAGAGTGCTGCTTGCTTCTTTCTGTCTTTGCCATTTCCATTGCGTTTTCTCTTAATGCAAATTGATTCCTACTCCAGCTCCTCGCATCGCTGTTGCTGTTGATTGATTCATGGCCCCCATACTCAGTCGGCTTTTAGAGCATAGCTCACCCTCCCTCCCCCGTCCCCTAACCTCTCTTTCTCTCTCCCTCTTTCTGTGTGGGTCTTGCTAACTCGCTCTCTCTGGCCAGCTGAAAAGTTCGCATTGGCCGCTTAATCGGTCATTGGGCCTTGTTATACAGCTCAATTATGGTCATTTGCCATGTGGCGCATGTGGTACTCCTGGCCCATTTGGTATTGGAGCCCACCCTTAACCTTGCTGGGTTAACGCTAAGCACTTCCCGACGCCCCCGCCCCTCCTCCATCGCCAGCTTTCAGTGTAAAAGCCGTGTCACGTGCCTGGGGCTTGGTGGGGCTGCCTGCAAAGCCTTTAATCGATTTGCCTTCCGTTTCTGTCGTTAGCTAAAAATGTTGCCTACTAAAAATAAACGCTTAATGCAAATCGACAACAACAACATAAAGAACAACAACAATAAAAACATAAAACAAAACCAATTGCAAAATGAAGTCAACAACAGGCGCTCGAAAATTTTCAATTTGTTTGCCTCAGCAATGGATCCGGTTCCAGACTCTGTTCTCACTCTCTCTATCTCTCTCTCTCCCCCCCCCCTCTCTCTCTCTCGAGCAGTGTGTTTATTTTTGTTATTACAACACAAAGGAAATAAACAAACACACACAAACACACACACACACACACTTCGATAGACATCTATATAGACATATATAATTTTAATGACTGCATTTCGAGTTTTGAACGCATCCTTTCACCCAAAATGTCCATCAAATTCGTATATTTAGATATTATCTATACGTGTTTATACGAGAACCTATAAAAGCAAGCAATTTATTAGCTATTTCAAGTATTTTCACTTTCATTACTTAACAATATTTAACTGGAACAACAAAGTGTATAGAAATTGCGAATCAGTCTAACGTGCGTTGCAGGGATTCAATTTCTAAATTTTTTTCGATTTTTTTTTTTATCTTATTTTATTATTTATTTGTTATTTACAAAAAATGAAACAAATGGAAATTAAAAATTTTGTGCTGTATTTGAGCCGGCGACTTCCCCATTGCTAGTTCAACGCTCAGACGTCTCAGCACGCAGGCTCTATATATTTGTGGTATATCTATTTTTTAATTTGCAAATTTTGACATATTTCCCAAAAGCTTAGCCTTTATTATGTTCGAGGCTTCGAACGAAAGGCTTTTCTGCAATTCGTGTCATATTTAATAGATTTCTCTAATCGCATATTGTAATCAAGCTAAATGATAACGCAGCTTGGCAGCGATAATATCATCGATTTTGAACGAAGCACTTCAATGGCCGTGATGGGAAAAACAACGCCCTAATGGCATCTATCATAAAGTATATTGATTATATTTTACACTATCTGGGCGATAGGCGCACCTGCGGCAAACAGTCGAACCTGTCGGCCCCCATCCATTAAAAACGGCAATTGGCGATAAGAGTCCCGGGGGAGGGGGGAAATAACCAGCTAGTAACCCATATTTATAATGCGTAAAATGATCGAATAATTCATTTGATGTCCGCCCTGCCAACATTTTGCTATCAAGTGTGTAGAAGAACTCTGATACGGTATCACATATTTCCCATATGTTAAATATGTTACAATTGAATTGGGCTCATTTTTGAGTTTTCCGTTCGAAATTGGGTTTACAGGAATTTCTCTGCTCTCTTAGCCGTATTTAGACAATTTGAACGAATCTGTTTCATATGCTGCATTTAACCTCATCTGATGAAGCTGCATGCCTGGACAAGGTTCTGGAAACATTCACCCGCAGCTGTGGGAAATTGGCGGAAAACTTTAGTGCTAAAGTTTTTTGTAGCAAATTTATCTAATACGTGTTGTGGGAAAATTCAGCCAACTTAGTTGGCAAATGCGTGTCAAGAATTGAATTGAGCTGCAAACATCACAGCACGGCACTAAAAGCGCACAAATCGTGGAAATACAAATTTCATTTCCTAATTCGAAGGATTTGAAACTCTTGAAAATCTGTTTATAGACGTGGAGTTCAGGCTATTATTGAGGACAAATTTTTGGCCGGGCAACACCGGGTAGTAGTACATACACTGCTCACCACTTCTAGAGTCTGAATTCAAAGTCTAATTGATTATATTTGTAGCGGTAATTAATGTTCATTTACCTAAAGATGCTTGGCTTTAATTTCAACATATTATCAACTTTTGTAAATACTTGTAATGTGTGTCTGTTTGTTTGTGTGCATCTTTATTATATTATCATCATTATATTTATTATCGCTTTAAAATTGTATTTTTTTTTCATTTTTTGTGTTTTAATTCCATTTTTATTTTTATATTTATTTGATTTTTATTTCTTTTTTTTGTGCCGCTTATCAGACTGCCGAGCCGTATAATCTGGCCAAAAAGAGAGCGTCCGGTTTTGGTTTTGGTAAATAATGTAGCAAAGCTATATCTCACTTGCTCTCTCTTCCCCTCTCCATCTATCTCTTTCTCTCGCTCTCGCTCTCTCTCTCTCTCTTATTCGCTTTCTCCTTCTCGCTGTTTTCCCGTCACACACACTGTCTATCTTTTCGCCGGTCCCAGTTGCTTATCTTATCAATAGACAGCGACAACAGCTACGACAGCGTCTACGCCGAAGAACTTCAATTCAATTTCTTTTCAATTTCTTGACATATACATGCACACACACACACCTACACACACACCTACACACCTACACACACACACACCGCCCACCTGTCAAGCCGTCAGTAATTTTATTTTTGCGCACGCTGCGAATCTCGACAGTATCTCGTAATGATGAGCGACGGTGTCATGTTTTCATTAAGCGGCACACACACCCGCACCCACATACACCCACACACGCACACAACGCTCACTTGTGCAAAAAAATGTAAATTTGAAAATCTTCTCTAATAATAATAATAATGTCGTGTAATAATACAATATGTATGCAGGCATATTGTCTACGAAGGTAGAAATGAAGCCGAATGCTGGCCTTTGATCTAATCACACTGCCAGGCACAACACACACCCACGCACACACATACACAGATACACACACACACACGCACACTAGGCCAGGTGGGAGAGGTGAGCCAAGCAGATGCCTCCGCCCCCTCGCTGCGAGCATGAAGATGTTTCGCTCTGCGGCTTTCGCAAAATGTTAATTTTGTGCTAATGAAAGCGGCGTCTATTTGCCTGATTCTGTGTGTGTGCGTGTGTGTGTATGTGTGTGTGTGTGTGTGTGCTGGAGGGTGCTGGTGTGCGCGCGTGTGTGTGTGCAGCATTTAGACGCCATTTTGTCAGGCTGTCTAATGAAATTGCGCTGTCTTGTGCAAAAGATTTTTGGCTGCACAGATTTGTGCGTGGCAGGAGCCGTAAGAAAAAATCGAATAAGAGGGCTAGGCTAACCGACTATGAGATACCCTGTAACTAGCTAGTGGACAGAACTTACGTATGTCCAGCTACACTTTTAAAACACACACACACACACACTCACGCAAGAGTCGGCAACAATAGCTTTTAGCAACTGCGAGATATGCTTCAGGAACCAGTACCTAATATCGATAGTTATCGATCTCGATAGCTATCGATAGTTTGGAACTTGAACAGCGTTTAGTATATAAGAAACAATATACAAAATTGATGTGCATCTTATTTAAATAAATCTCAGATCTCAGAGATGGACCCGCTAAGCTTATGACTGATTAGGCATATCGATATATACAAATCGAAAAATATCGATTTTTAGCACCTGTCAAAGTAATTCAGCTGTATATATATATATACATAAAATTTACATACATTCACTTAAAACCATTAGACCCTTCAATTTGGCCTGACTATAGGGTACAAAAGCACATTTTTGTTTCAAGTTTGCTTTTTTCGTTTCTCGTTGCTTGTTTGGGTGGCGCCATCTATGGGCAGGTGTACCAAGTTTCCTAATGTTTACTTTTAAGGCAAGTGTCAAATAACAATTAACGAAATGAGCTAGACGAAAAAGAATTTACCAGCTGCAGCCAAATGGAAACTAATTTAAAAATTGGCTTTATAGTCAAATAGATAGACTAGAAATTCAAATGGCACAGTGGTAACTCGCTAATGACAACCATTTCATGAATACTAATAAAATTGTAACAATAATAATAATAATAATATATTCAATTTATGTTCCTCATCCACACTGAGAAAAGAGTCAAAGCTTAGTTAGATCAGCACACACATATATACATATAAAGCACTATCGATATTTGTTATCGATAAGCGCGAAATAGCCAGAGTTGCCACTTCGCTAAGAAAACGGATGCCTTTTAAGTTAACAAAGTAATTGAAAACGCTTCAGCTAACATTTAACTATTGCGATGAATTACTTTATCGTTCACTAATTGGTATAGAAATATGTTATCGATAACTAATTGAAAGATATAAATGTTGGTACATGTTTGCAATTAATAATTCTTAACGCTAGTCGATCGATATGTTGACTTTATCGAAGTTTTATCGATAGCATATTGTTATCGATAAAATATAGTTACCATAAAGCTATTTTTAAATGCAATTTGCGTCACTTACCAAATGTAAAACTGTGTTGACCACCTCACGATTGGTCACCTGGCCGACCTCGATGAGGCCGATGAGGACGGCAAATTTCAGATTGTCGGCGGTCGTCATTCTGACAATTTCGTCGGGCCGCTTAATGTCGCTAAACGGCGGACGCATGATGTCCGCCATTTTGAATCGAGTCGATTGTTATTTATTGGTTGTTATCGATAGTTATTGGATTTCAACAATTATTATTTTATCGATTGTTTTAATATTATTTATATTAATTTTGCACAAGTGCAACATGCAAAATTGTCGCATTAATAAGTTGTTGTCATTTAGATCAGGTTATGTATATATATATTCATTTATATATATATGTGTGTAGATTAATGGATGGATTGCACAGGGGGGAAATATACACGCACGCACGCACACAGATACACAGATGCACACAAACACATACACGATATGTGTGCAGGCTGAAGATGCTTTTTGGCTAAAAACAATAAAGATTTCTTTTTTTTTTTTTTATTTTGGTGTTGCAAATTTGTAATTGCCAGGCAACTGGGAATAAAATAACAAAAAAATTGCTAAATAATTTTTTATTTATTTTTAATTTTTTTTTTGGCTGGATTTCGTTATTTTTTTAAAAATTTGTAATTTTGCACTTTCAACTTGTGTGACATATTTTGGTGTTGTTTTATTAGTTGTTGTTGTTGTTTTGGCAGCCACAGTTGGCGCTCATATTGAGTCGCTTTTGTTGTTACATTTATTTAATTCTATCGATTTTTTTAATATTTATTTTTTGATATTTTCTGAATTGCACACTTGATTGTTGCTTTAATTGATTTTGTTGATTGTTTTTTTTTTTTTTTTGTGGATTGCGGAGGGGTTTTAATTTGTTGTCATTATTAAAACGAGAATGAGAAAAAAGACATAAATGCAAAAATTAATACAAATTCAAAAAAGGTTGATTTGCAATAAGTATATGCAAAATGAACATGAAAATATTGAAGAAAAAAAAATCATAAATGCTCGTTAAAAGTATTTTTAAGGTTTTTCCAATGTAAGGTATTAGCTTCAGACTTGGTACAGATGTTGGGCTTATAGCGGGCTTTTCTTTTAGAGGAAATGCAGTATAAGGCATAAGGGCTGGAGGATGCATTTTTCTTTTAAGACAGGCAAGCACAAAAGACAAGCACATTTCAAAGGAAAAACTTAATCTAAATCAAATGCAACACAAAATAAAAATTGAATCTATTTTAATGCATATTTTGGCGAACATTTTCAAAATATTTCGTTAGCTGACTCTGGTCTTTGTTTTGGTTTTTATTTGAAAGCCAGCTAAGGAAATATATTAAATCAATTTTCAAAGCCCGTTCAAAAAATTAACTGCATTTTGGGAAATGCCAGTAAGCCCCTATTCAAACAATCGAAAAAGTTATCGCTAATCGATTCAGCGCGCTTCTATTCAGCTATATATATACATATATATAAATATATATATCAATCTATCTATCTATCAGTCAGTCACTCAGACAAACTGTTATGTATATTATTTATTATTTTATATATATTACATAGCATATATTATTTATTATTAGTCGGAAAATAGGAAAAATTAGAACGCAAAAAGAATCGGGCAGATTGCGGTTTTCATATAGCTTGCTTCATATCGTTTGTTTGCAAAATGTTCAACAAAATGTTGGCAAAGTTTTTGGTTTTCTGATGTGTTCAAAGTTCGTTTTAAAAACTCCCCGAGTTCAATAAAGTTAAATGTAAATCTTTTGCTAGCGGTCAAATGTCATGCGCAATCACTTAAGAGGCCATTTAAAAAGTTTCGAATGCATTTTAACGATACAAAAAAGTTTCAGAACAATTCGAAGGTATTGATGTCCATTGTACATTCCTGTTTTGAGTCCATTAAGAAGGAAAAGGAGAAAGAAGAGGAGAGAGAAGAAAGCTGATTTGATTGCTGAGAACAAACCAACTCCTTAGGATCGTAGATCGACCTTTAAAACTTGTCGCAAAATGTGCAACGCTTAGAAGGAGGTATATCCAACATCGTAAAGTATATATATTCTTGATCAGCATCAACAGCCGAGTTGTTATAGCCATCTTTATCCGTCTTTCAGTCTATCCGTCTGTCTGTTTCTATGCGAACTAGTCCTCAGTTTTGAATCTATATCTCTGTCTATATCATATATCTGTCATGGGAACGATCGGTCGAAAAGTAGGTTCTGTTATACTGGAAAACTTCTTTGCTTATCAAGATAACTTGACCAAACTTGGCATTTAAAAATTTCACTTTAATCCCTACATACATGGAAAATCTTATAGTTATCGGACCACTATATCATATATATATAAATATGAGAATAATCGGTCGAAAAGTAAGTTCTTGTATGAACAACTTTGTTCTTAACTATATTAACAATGATGCTTACATATGAGTCAAGTCTTATTATATATGGCTTTATTGGAAGCATCGGTCGACAATTAAGTTTTTGTATAGAAATATATTCTGTTTTCCAAAAGATTTTTATCAAACTCATCATTTACGAGCTTCACAGTGCTCACATATTTGCAAAAGAAAAATGTCTGCAAGGGTATCAAATCTTCGGCGTGCCGAGGTTATCCTCACTTTCTCGTCAATCTTAAATCATCTCCAAACTATTTTTAAATGAAGTTTTTACTTACTGGAAAACAGAAAGTATTATTGATTAAAGAGTTGTCGTTTAGCCGATTTCATATTTGTTTCCATAGTTTTTTTGATTGCCAACTTTAGTTGTCAGTTTCTTACTCATTTCCATAGCAAAGTAAAAATGCTTATCGAGCACTTTTTTTTCTAGACTGTTAGATAATAGATACCTTCTATGCTTGAACTCGCTTTGTTTGCCCCTCTATTTGCTTCCACTTTATGTTTCTCTCTGTCTCTGCTCTCTACGCTTTTTCTCTGGCTACTTTATTTACTTTTTGCCCTGGGTTTGTTGAGCACATATCTCGAGGGTTTTGACTCATGCAATTGTTATGGTTGGTGTGCACACATAAGAACAAGCACTTAAGTTGTTTCGTCGGGCGTGCACGACTGGCAGATACCTAAAACCCAGCGCCAAGCTGTCATTTGCTGTAGCTGTGCTTCTGCTTTACTTTGTCTAATGTAAGAAGAGTCTACTATTCTCCCCTTAATCTAGTAATAGAAGAGTCTAATATGCTTCCCATTGCCCAGTATAAGAGGAGTCTAGTATGCTTCCCTTTGTCTAGTATAAGTAGAGTATAGTATGCTTTCCTTAGTCTAGTATAAGAAGAGTCTAGTATAAGAGGAGTCTACTATTCTCCCCTTAATCTAGTAAAATAAGAGTCTAGTATGCTTCCCATTGTACAGTATAAGAAGAGTCTAGTATGCTTCCGATTGTCCAGTATAAGAGGAGTCTAGTATGCTTCCCTTTGTCTAGTGTAAGAAGAGTCTACTATTCTCCCCTTAGTCTAGTATAAGAAGAGTCCAGTATAAGAAGAGTCTACTATTCTCCCCTTAATCTTGTAAAAGAAGAGTCTACTATTCTCCCCTTAATCTAGTACAAGAAGAGTCTAGTATGCTTCCCGTACAAGAAATCCATTCTAGTTTAACTTCGGTGCTTGTTGTCCGATCATTTTGAAAGTTTCGGGGCTTAACTAAGGCAAACCTATGTTTGTATATACCAAGTCCCAAGGTTTTACGTTTGAAAATGACTTTTGTGCACATTTTGCGGAGAATGAGGGAAGATTTTTCAGCTGTTTTTACTGTACGGATAGCTAGATATCAAGTTTCTGATAAGTTTTGATTTATATTGAAAGAATCAAAACTAAAATTGATCTTTATCGATATTATTTGTAGGTGAGGACAAATTGTAGGATATATTTTAGCTATATTATGAAGACTCTAGCTTTTATAGTTAACGAGATAGACATGACTAGTTCGACTTAGATCGTTGTTCTGATCAAGAATATGCACATACATATATGTTTATACATATATGCTACATGCATTCGCCCGGAAACCTTATACCCTCTTCCCCCAGGGTTCCGGGGTATAGAAATTAACTTATGCAGAGGCAGTTCGTCACGCACCAGCGATAAAGCTGCCTAGAACAATAGCCCAGCAATAGCTGGCATTTATTATTATTTTAACTTTTTACTTTATAGAAATCGTATGAAATTGAAGAAAACTATTCTCTTTATCCATATAATGTCTAAAGGAAAAACCCCAAGATTAATTATCTTTAGAACAAAGTCTGTCTTTGATTGGATTTGGATTGGAATATATATGTATTTCCCTTATAGAAGTTTTTTATTTTGATCTTTAATATTCTTTACGACTAGAATCTTAGTTAAAAGATATATTTTATACATTTTCTATATATATATATCAACCCTAGCTTTATATCTTCAAGAGAAGCGCTTCAGGCAACATTTTTTGTCGAACGATTCTTAAGAATCCGGAGTTTTTGAATAGAAGTACGTGTTTTTTATAATTAAGGGGTTTGGTTTATTATTATTTAATATTAATCTTTAAAAGAATTTTATCCTTTTTGTTAGTAAGCTTTTAAAACTTATGATACTAAAATCCAATTCTTTTGATACCAAAAACTTTCACATATTCTATTTTTTCTTATACTTTCAACTTTTCGATCTGTAACTGAAATATTTCTTATATTCCCTTTTCTTTTGATATTTAGATTTTATTTTATTTTATTTAAACTTTTCGATCTGCAACTAAATTTTTTCTGAATATTCATTAACTTTTTGTACTTTTGTACTTTAACTTTTTGTTCCGATACTAAAATCTTTCGTATATTCTTGACCTGCTACTAAAATCTTTCTTCTAAAAGAAAATATAATTTATTAAATATATAAACTTGAATAGCCTTAATTAAGCTATGAAAACTTTTATAGCCCTTTCATGAAGCTCTATTTGGGCCCAGCACAAAAATCCTCTATATTAGATCTTCTAATAAAGAGGATTGTATCTATCCGGATATATAGAAAAAGTATTCCACTTGTTAGATAAATCTCACTAAACCAGTTCACTCCAACGAGTATTTACTGTAGATTCTTTCACACTTTAAACGCTGCAGCCCACATATCATTTATCTTGAAAGCCCCCATTAAAAGTGTTTATATTTTCAATATAGGGGCCTGCTCTGAATCAAAATCGGTTAATTGCCCACAAATCTTGCTAAATTGCAAAAACAAAATTCAACTGAAATTACCCAAAAAAAAAACAAAAAAGATAAGATTGGGAAATAATACTAAAAAGTACACCTCAGTTTAAAGAAAAACCGGCGTGGCACATTTTGCGGTAGTTGTTGGCTGCAGAGACGTCGGCAGCGACGTCGACGTCGGCGTCGATGACGTTGACGTTGACGGGTCGAACGACACTAGCGCTATCAAACGCAATTATCGCAGCACGCTACGTAAATGAAGTGCGCTTACGCTAACGCGACACGTAAGCGGCCGGTTTTGGGCCCCTTGCAATGTGCTAGTGTGTATGTGTGTGAGTACGAACTTTAAAGTGTGTGTGGCGGAAGCGGGTGAGGGAATGGGGCATGGTACAATAAACTAAATGAAACGCGGGACGCGAGACGCGAGAGAGAGTAAGAGAACGTGAGCGAGAGAGCGGCGACGAGTGTAAAGCAAGCACCATTAAGTCATGTCAAGAGAAGCACGAGACGAGGCGAGGCGACGCGTCGCAGCAGCTCAGGTGATGCATGCCCAATTGGAGCATGCATGTTGCCAATTGGCAAATGTTATGCCTTTTTCATAGCATTACACAACACTGCAGAGATCACTCTCCGCGGCCAAAGTTGAACTTGAAATTGTGTAGAAAAAAAATGCAAAAAAAAAATCTGCTATCAATATGTTATCTAAGTGTTAATGGCAACATGGCAGCCCAGGCAAAAGCAAATGTGATAAATAAATGTTATCTGTCTGTTGTGTGTGCTTATTCGCCGTGGGCACGGACACGGCAGAGGGGCGAGGTAGCGGATTGGACCGCAAATTGGTTAGCTTTACCAATTAGAGCCTGTGCATTAACATTACATTGCTACGGAAAGCAGTTTTTATTTATCATAATTTATCTGCCTTTAGTCATTATTCTTGACCCAACAACTTTGCCATTGGGTTTGCACTTTACGCGCGCTCTCGCGCTCTTCTTCGCTCAAACGCTCTCCGGCTCTCTGTTGCTGGCTGCGCTCTTGTGCTGTTACTGTTCGCTGTTAAGCGTTGTTGTTCTCGTTTTTGTTGTTGTTGTTGTTGTCGGTGGTGGCCAAAAGCGGCGGTTGTTCTCCTCGTTCTGTTTCGGTGGTTGCTTCGCAAGCGCTTTTTTGAACAATAATAATATTTAAAAAAATAAAATGTGGTTATAAGTCACATTGCGCAAGCAGCGGCAACAACAAATCACTCAAATTCTTTGTGCTGCGGGCCCAGTTATTTACACTTTGGCCTAACATAACCTCCAACAACGAATTGTTAATTGCACACGCACACACACACGCGTACACATGGTTACGTTTTTTCCTTTGTTTTCCTTTTCGTTGCGTCTCTCTAGCTCTTTCGCTCACACGCCAGGCTATTCCACAATTTCCCTTAGTCGCCTTCCCCCCAACACACACTTCCCGCACCCGCTCCCCTTACCCAACATCTCGTGACCACTATGACAAAGTGGAAAAATCAATGAATGTCAGCGCGTAACAGAGCCCAAGAGAGCGAACGCGTGAGAGCCAAAAGCATGTGAACGCGCCAAAGGCAAAGAGAGAGCGCGCGCGCGCGTCCTGCTTCTGTCCAAGCCCGAACCCCCTTCGTCCAACGACAACACGCTTCACGAACCTGAACACACGTCGTCAGTTTGTTAACTTATTCTTATTAGGCTGCTGGCAGCTACCACGTTCTACCACACACACACACACAGGCACGCTTTACGCTCTTGCATTCACATAACACACACACACACACACACACCCGCACACACACGTTCTCTCCCTATCTCTCTTTCTCTGTGTGTGGATGTCAACGTCAGCGTTGCGGCTTTTTCTGCTTCTTGCTAAGTTTTTTTTTTTTTATCGTGTTATTTTGCACCGCTTTGTTATATTTTTCATTCTTATAAGCGCATCAACACCAGAACAAATACCTATTGGCATTGCCCAAACTGCACAAGTCTTAATTGGAGTGCCCAAATGCTTCACAGCAACAACACCGCGAAAAACAAACAAAAACAAACGACAAGAGAAGAGCAGTAAAGAGAAAGGAAGAGAAGATATAACGGAAAACCATAACAAGAACGAGCATGTTAAATGTAATTACAACAAAATGCCGACAAAAATATATCTTATATATTTACATTGTATTGTTGTCACGCCGAAAGCCGCATTGGCTGCGCTTTGTTGTTGTTGTTGTTGTTGTCGTATTTAATTATCTTTTGTAATTTTCTATAAACATTGCTGAACACTTTGCACTTACATTCATATGTATATCAATAATATTTATTTTTTTTTACTTAATTTTTTTTTTTTTAATAGTTGCTACGATTGTTGTTTCGCACACGAACACACAAAAAAAAAACGCAAAAAAAATTATTATTATGATGCATAAATAAATCAACGTTCACGTAACAACAAAAACACAACCATTTTCGTTTACGTCTTGCTGCCTACTGACGTTAACTCTTATGCCGTCAAACTGGCAATGAGAACGCATGGACAACAAACCCAATCAGAATGCTTGTTTATCGGCCATGTTCTCGTTTACGGCAGCGCACAGTGGTATGCATTGCATCCATTGCCATTTGCAGACGAACTGTTGCTAAATCGTTTGACATTTACTTGTGATTTAGTTGAATATTGAATTCTCAATATAATTGTTAATAATTTGCCAGCATTTTAGGCGTTTTTATCAAATTAAAATGCAATACATTTTTTTAAGGACGCAAGCGGAATTGAGAACGTCGTCAATTACAGCTGTTACAGGATAATTACATCTGTTGGCGCTTAAGCGACACTGTTAATATTCACTTAACAGCCATGCACTCTCCGGAGAGTAACGTTTACAACGCGCATCTAAGAGAAGGACTCTGTTATTAACGCTGAGAGTCCTTAAACAGTGCTGCCCAATCCTGGCGCGTGTATAACAGTTTTTAAACGCATATACTAGTCTGGAATGGATAAGGCAATATGTGTATGACAAATGTGCGCTATATACATATATAAGAAATATCGCTTGTCCAATCAAAACTATTTGTTAGCATCGTTCTTTTCAATTTAACTGCCAAATAATTTTATATTGTTTTTCTTTTCTTCAGATGCAAAGTGTAATATTGACTTAGTGGCATAGCGCGAATTTTGAAATTTGAATCACAGTATTTTCCATCACTAGAAACCAGCTGGCGACAAGTGCAACTTTGCCTTGCTTGAATAATATTATTAAATAAACTGATTTAAAATTTAGGTAATTGTTTAATTTAATTCCCGTTGGTAAAAATGGACCACACAGTTGTGTTTTTTGCTATATCTATGTTGTTTTGCACAATCACGCGGATTCCCGTGCTAAAAGTAGTTATATATTCAAAATTAATATTCTAGAAATCAAACTTGTCTAACCGTGCCATTTGAGTAAATTCCTTGACATGAGTTTCTGATAATTGTGAACTTTCGTTAAGAATTCGACATGAACTGACAATAGATTTCGAATATCGATGAATGAACAAAATAAATATCGCATATCAAGCTAACATAAACATTAATTTTCAAAAAATATTACACATAATAAATTAATTAGCTTTTCTTCTATGTAAGCATATTCACTTATGTTTATAATAATTTAAATATGTAATTATGTTAATTATGTACATAAATTCATATATTGATGTTATTTTATTTTATATTATTTTTAATTTTAATTAAAGTATACCAAACAAATAATCCAACAAATAATAATCAAATGTATAATATTGTAGATAATAAACCTTTTTGCTCAACAGTAAGTCTGTTTCTTGTGCTAAACTGCTAAGTAAAAAAAAAACCCGGCTAATGTTTGACTTCACGTACGAAAACTAAACGAAACAAAAACACCGCCCAGTGTAACAGATTTCGATAAGTTGCACTATTAATGTAAAAAATTCATGTTAGCCTTACATTGCGCAATTTACGTTTGTTTACTCAAAGCCGCGTCATAAAGAAAACAGAGTAGGCAGCGCTGCGAATGCCACATATTGGAACTTTTTTAAATTAAATGCACAGTTGTTTAAAAATAAAAAAAAGCAATTGATTCGCCCAACACGAATTGATCTTTATATCTCAATTTGAAAACGTTGCTGTTGCGATTTGTCAACTTTAACATTAAACCGTCTATCGCACGGCCGCCACAGGCTATCGATAAGACTCGCTCACACACACATACACACACACACACACAAACACACACATATATGCTCCATCATATTCATATTGACGACGACATCGTCATTCCGTATAAATTCCTCGAAATTCCTTATTTATTTTTTTTTTGTTGAATTGGCGCGTGCTGTGTTTGTCGACAGCAACATAAGTAGCCAACACAGCGAACCTGCAACAACCAACAGGCCCAACGAACAAACCAAACAATAAACAAGTGAGTAATGCGCAACAAAATAACAAAAAAAAAAAGAGAAGAAAAAACGCAACCAAACGCTCGCTCCTCTTCGCCTTCGTGTTCGTCATGCACTTTGTTTTTGTCAATGCTGCCGCTGCTGCTGCTTTTGCTGCTGCTGCTGCTGCCTGCATTAGTCATACACAAATTTGGAATAGACTTTTGTTTTATTGTTTTGTGAGTGTGCGTGGAAAGGATACGCGTTTTGGTGCTTTTCTTTTGTTGTTGATCGATTAAATCGATAAATTGCGTGCGGCCCACGCCTGTGTCTGGGGAACGTGACGTCACTAGCAACTAATTTAACATTCGCGTCTTTGCAGCAGCTAAAAACAAACACACACACAAACACATACACACAACAGACGGACAGACAGACAGACAGAAAGAGTAGACGAAGAACCACATCCATGGCAGCCGGCACGACACTACAAAAGGCCATCGATCTGGTGACAAAGGCCACCGAGGAGGATCGCAACAAGAACTACGCGGAGGCGCTGCGTCTCTACGAGCACGGCGTCGAGTATTTTTTGCATACAATCAAATGTGAGTAAAGAACACGACCCCCTCCACACACCAAAAACAAGTTAGGTAACTCGTAACGCTTTCAGATGAGGCACAGGGCGAGAAGGCCAAGGACTCGATACGTGCAAAATGTCTACAGTACTTGGATCGCGCCGAGAAGCTGAAGGAGTATCTGAAGAAGGGCAAGAAAAAACCGATTAAGGAGGGCGGCGAGAGCAGCTCCAAGGATGACAAGGACAAAAAGAGCGACAGCGACGACGAGGACGGCGATGATCCAGAGAAAAAGAAGCTGCAAGCCAAACTGGAGGGTGCCATTGTCATTGAGAAGCCGTGCGTACAATGGTCCGATGTGGCTGGCCTCGATGCCGCCAAGGAGGCACTCAAAGAGGCTGTCATCTTGCCGATTAAGTTTCCGCAGCTGTTCACCGGCAAGCGCATACCCTGGAAGGGTATTCTACTATTTGGGCCACCCGGTACGGGCAAATCATATTTGGCCAAAGCGGTCGCCACCGAGGCAAACAGATCCACATTCTTTTCGGTATCTAGCTCCGATCTAATGTCTAAATGGCTGGGCGAATCCGAGAAGCTGGTGAAGAATCTCTTCGAGCTGGCGCGCCAGCACAAGCCATCGATTATATTCATTGATGAGATTGATTCAATGTGCTCGGCCCGTTCGGACAATGAGAACGACAGCGTGCGCCGCATCAAGACCGAGTTCCTGGTGCAAATGCAGGGCGTTGGCAATGATACCGATGGCATTCTCGTACTGGGCGCCACCAATATACCCTGGGTGCTCGATTCGGCCATACGCAGGCGTTTCGAGAAGCGCATCTATATTCCGTTGCCGGAAGCGCATGCCCGCCTCGTCATGTTCAAAATCCATTTGGGCAACACCACCCATGTGCTGACCGAGCAGGATCTCAAGGAACTCGCCGACAAGACCGAAGGGTGAGCTTGTGTACACATAGCCCCAGTTCCAATCGCGAACTAATCCTTCTCCATTCCATCCAATGCAGTTACTCTGGCGCCGATATATCGATTGTGGTGCGTGATGCGCTGATGGAGCCGGTGCGCAAGGTACAAACAGCTACACACTTTAAGCGCGTCTCGGGTCCCTCTCCGGGCGACAAGGAGAAGATTGTCGACGATCTACTGGTGGCCTGCTCGCCGGGCGATCCGGGCGCCGTTGAAATGAATTGGATGGATGTGCCCAGCGATAAGCTCTTCGAGCCGCCAGTCACCATGGTGCGTAATCCCTAGACCCAACTGCCAGAGACGGTTTTAAACGTTTTACTTGTATTTTTATAGCGCGACATGCTCAAGTCCTTGTCACGCACGAAACCGACCGTCAACGAGGAGGATTTGGTAAAGCTGCGCAAATTCACAGAGGACTTCGGCCAGGAGGGCTAAGCCGCGAAAGCTAATTATACCGCCGCCATTAAGTTTACCACCCAGCAGCTTATTCTTGATTGTTGCCTAATACATAAAACGATAAACACGCCCCTGGCTCTATGGATCCACACACACACACTCACACGTACACTCTATATATATATATATAATAATATATTATATATACATATAAAAAATTGTTCTATGCCTTTCTGTTCTGTTTTTCTTTTACCACATATTGTAAACACACACAAACGCTATGTATATGTGAGTTGCAGATCGTTCGCATATATGTATATGGTTAAAATAGTTTATCAAGTTTTGTCGTATGCTAACCCCAACCGCCCCCTTGTGGCTGCTGCTGCTGCTGTTGTAATCACGAAATGAAGAGAAAAAGTAGTCGATGTATTTTTATACACTTAATGTTAAGCCAAAACCCGAAATGAAACCGATTGTAATTTATGTGTGTTGCACAGAGTGCGACTGTGTGTGTGTGTGTGTGCGCGAGTGTTTGTCAACCTGCAAGTGGATGCAACATTCAATGCTGCCTTCACACCTGGACACCTGCCCACATGAGCCCCATCAGACGCAGACACACAGACACAAACAGACAGACAGACAGACGGACGGACGGACGGACAGCCGCAGTTGGCCAATTGGCCAGTTAACCAGCAAACAGGCAAACTATTTTCAAATGTAACCGATAAAAAAACAACAAAAAATTAAACGATATTTCAAATTGATTAGCATCTAGAAATTCAGTGTGGCTCGACTGTGGGATGCCCTGTTAAAACTAAAACATTCGAATCTGTAATTCGCCTTAAACTCATTTTCATAGACTTTTTAACTATTTTCGTTTTGCAAGTCTCGGGCCTTTCATATATATATATTTAGATATATATTTTTTTTCTTTTATGATTATGCTTAGAAATTAAAATTGTTAAATAAATGTATTACGAATCGATAAGGATTTTAATTCAATTCAAAAATTCAGACAATTATTTATTTACAATATTTGCAAAAAACTTTTTCATTGTGTGAACTTTATGGAACCTTTATTTAAACTTAAGATGTACAAAAAGTGCTTTTTAAGATATTTGCAGATTAGTTGTTAATATTTCTGAATTCTGAATATTGCCAGTTATTAGAGTTTCGAAAAATAATGTTAGTTAAGAGTTAAGAGAGCTTCTGTCTATCTTCTAAATGATGTTAGAGCGAGACAGCTGCAATTGAAGTGTTGCAAAGTGACAACAAATTTGGAAATACGTACCGAATCGCTCGAGTAGAGCATGAAAAGATACAATACTGTACCAAAGGTGGAGTTAATATACAAACATATTAATATAAACAACAACATATATTACTATCCATCCATCCATTCAGCTGTCTATGCGAACTGTCTCACTATCTGTTTTAAAACTTGATTCTTTTCGAATATGGACTTCGATTTGATCTCTGGTCAGATATAGTGCTGAGATTAGATGGTTAGGCGCCTGAAACATGGCATATGTATATGTCCGTCTGGAGTTCAGATCATATGACTACGCCCATTAGGGGCGTGACAGCTCGGTAAATATCATATTAATACATCTACGATTAGCTCTTAGTAGGAAAAAGTCTATGCCTATGAAAACTTTTGAGCTAATGTGAATTTGGTTTTTCTTTTTTAATTAAGTCGCGGCGCTCCTTTAGAGTAAATTGCAAACATGTTTTAGCCATGGTGCCAGGGGGCGTGGCAAATGCCTGTTAATCAATTTTGGGGCCAGCCTGTTGTGAGAGATTTTTTTTGGACTGAGCACGAGTCAGACTGGCGTGCAAATTATTTCCAAACATGACGAAACATATCTGCTATGCATATATAAAATATATATCTGTGCATGTATATATATATCTCCATATATATATATATATATATGTATATAGATCAAGCCCAAAAGTATGCTAGCCTTAAAGTTACCATAACTAGTTCAAATCGATTAAAGGAGTAGGGATTGATTTACAGAATTCCAAATTCGAAAATCTCGAAAAGAAACTAATTTATTGGCTTTAGCTTTTAAAGGTGTCTCTAAAAAGTGCAAATGTTCTGATATTTTGCATTTTATGGTTCAGAGCGAGACAGAGACAGATGGTTGCCCTGCTCAAAATGCTGCTCGTATACATAAATCATTTTGGTGCGCAATACCCATTGGACACGCATTAGATAAAAGGGTATATTGGTTCATGTGCTAATATATATATATATACAGAAGGGCAAAAGGAAGTCTGCTGCGAGTCCGTAATGCATAGCTGGAGCTAACATAAAAGTCAATCAAGCTTGTTAAATAATAAAAAATCGATAAATATCGATTTGAAAAGATTTAAAAATTATAAGAGCTGGATGCACCAAAGTTGGAAGGTAGGTGCACCCATAGTATACACAGATGTAGCATTTCCCATCTTTTAGATACCTTAATCTTACACCTGCAAAAACTGAGAAAAAATTCAATATGCAAAGATGGAGCCTTGCGCTTTGGTACGCCACATTTATGCGCTGAAACTTTGATAATGATCGGACTCTAAGCACCGAAGTTAATCTAGCATGCATTTGCCATATGTAGCATGTTTATAGGGTATATGTACATAGGTATAGGCTAAAGGCAAGACGAAGCGCAGTGTTAAACTGCTTCAAACGGCAGCTTGTCGTTGCATACAGGGTATCCGCTAGTCGGGTACTTACATACGACTAGAGCACTTCTACTACTCTTTTTTTTTTGGAGCGTGTCAACATTTGCGAGCCGGCAGCAAAGTGGGTCAAATTAGAACTTTCTGTGCGCAACGGAGCGGCGCGTGCTTCGATCTTTGTTCGAGCCAATTGAAGTCGTTGTTTTTAGGCCAGTTCGACATTTGGGCCCTAAATGCAGCCAATGCACAGCCGAAGCGGACGTCGGCTGTGGCAATACGCTTTAATTTTTTTTATATTTACATTCAACTTTTTTATATGTACATATGTATTTATTATTTCTCCTCTTGGCTTTTTGCAATCGTACGTGCTGCGAATGGCGACAACGTCTGCGGACAGTCTGGCAGCGCTGCGACTTACTGCGACAGGCACGACTGCTTGCCGAGGCTTGCTGCCGCTTTGGCCGCCAGTGTTGCCAGCTGTCGCTCTTCAAAAAACTAGCTAAATCGCATGTCACAAATAAAGCTAAAACTAGCCGAATTAGATTGGCTGGCTAGCTACAAGTGCGGAATAAGGAGAGAAAGAGCTGCCTTTTCTTTTGCGCAGTTTTGTTTAAAGCTTTTGGAAAGTGAAACTTGTTGGCTTGAACAAGAATAAAAAAAGCTACAATAAGTCACATTCTAGTGTGTACCAAACAGTTTTCGAAACAGCTAAAAATATACAAAACTAATTAAAAACAGCTAAATTAGGGAATCCATAAATGCAAACACCAACCCAAAAAATAAATAAACATTTAATACAACAACAAGAATACGCTAGCGCAACTAAGTCTATTTTGTTTCAAATACTTTTCAAAATAGCTAAAAACAATACAAAAAATAGCTAAATAGGCATCCAAAGTTGCCAAAAAACAAACATTTAATTGCTAAAACAAGGCAGAAAGGAAAAAAAAACTTCAATATGAGCTACAATACACACTGCTAAAAAAAGTGCCGTTCTATTTTGTACCAATGGGATTTTAAAATAGCTAAAACTAAATAAAAAATAGCTAAAACAAGCCAAAAATGGCAAACAAAAAAAAAACAATAAGATTAACAGCTGATATGTTTTTTAGAAAAAGCTAAAACAAAAATAACAAGAAAATAGCTAAAACACTTTAAAATCAGGCAGAATTGCAGACAACAGCCAGTTACAGCACAGCCACGTTTAGCTGGAAAATAGCTAAGCCGGCAGCACGGTTCGCACTTGCTGGCTGCTGTTTCGGGTTTTGCGCGTTTCGCGCATCGCGTTTCGGCTTCGTTTCGGCTTCGTTCGTAGTTTCAGTTGATCTTCAGCCGCGGCGCGTTGCGGTTCGTGTCGGCATTTCGTGTGTTTATTTTTTTTCCTATTTTGCTTTCTTACGGTTTTTCTTGCGGCCAATTTGCAACGTTTGCGTTTTATGCGCTGCATCTAAAGATATTTTTTTTTTTCGGTTTTTATTATCGGTTTATGCTTTGCGCAAGTTTTCGAAAATAAATTGACGAAAGGCAGTGAAAAAAGTGCGTAATTGCAGTTTGTGTTTTGGTTTGTTTGTTTTGTTTATGTTTTTTTTTAATTTATACTTTTTTTTTGTTTGTTTGTTTTGCGCTTGCATTTTTGTGTTTGAGCTGCGGCGGCGACTGCGGCTATGGCTTTGGCCTGCCCTTTTTTTTTTGTACTCTTGTCTTTCAATTGTGGCGGCGTCTGTGTGTGTGTGTGTGTGTGTGTGTGTGTAGGTTGTCGTTTTTTGTATTTAATTTTTGTTTTGTTTTTTGTTATGAAGCACAACTTTCACGCGCCTCAAGTGAAACTGTTAACGGAGCCCGGGCACCAAAGCAGAAGAAGTAGCAGCAGCCGCAGCCGCTTCGTCTGCTGCTCTTGTTGCTGTTGTTGTTGTTGTTGTTGGCATACTTTGCTTATCACAAAATCACAGCAAAAACAAAACAAAAATCTCATCATTTGCATATGTTGCTTATCAGCTTTTATTTTCCAACATTTTAGCCATTTTTTATATATATTTTTGAATTAGTTTTCTTTGCTGCACTTGCTGCTTCAAGCTTCAAGTTTGTCGCCTAAGTCTTTTGCTCACTGCTTGCCTGCACTGCTTGCTGCAGTTGCTGCTGTTGCTATTATGCATATTTGTTGTTGTTGCCTTAAACTCGTTTGCCGAGCGCATTACATGCCACGCCCCCCTTACCCGCCAGCATGCAGTGTGTGCAACAAAACAACAACAACAACAACAACAACAAATAATAATTTAATAAAAAAAATAAATAATACGAAAAAAAATACAATCATGCTGACATTGACACGAATTGCAGAGAGCGCGAGAGACCAAGAGACAAAAGGCAGCCAATTTAGACGGCAGCGCACAACAAATTCCATGGTGTAAAGTCTAAATCAACAAAACTGCAAGCTAAACTAGAAACAACAACAACTACAAATAACTATTAGCAGCTAAAATGCAGAGCGCTCAACGCACATATACCCTGCAAAAAGTTCTGCTTTATTTTAGTTTACTTTTTTAAAATACTTTCTTTACTTTTGTTTAAATATAAATTGTTTTGCCTATTTACATGGCATTTACTTGGTTGTAATTTTGACTTTTTATTCAGTTATTCTCGAGGATTTTCGACTTATATGCCAAGTTCTGCATACATTTACGTGGTTTGGGTCTATGTAAAGCTACATACCAAATTTTCGGGCCCTACATGGACTAGATCCTGAGTTTACATAGATTGACTGCAGCTGTTTACCTTGCTTGGACTTATATATGCGCTCGGTGTGTACAGTTGCACTTCTTACACATTCGCCAACACACTTGCCCGTTTGCAGGGTATACGAATGGCATTTATGTCCAAAATTGTATTCAATTAAAGTGCATAAATTCCTTCAATGTCATTCACAAAACATTTTAATTTTAGTTAAACACTTGATGGCTGTTGTTGTCGCTTTTGAATAATGCGTCTTAACATAATTTGAGTGCTGTAAACGGCCAATGATTGAGCCCAAGCTGTTGTTGTTGTTGTTGTTGTTGTTGTGGTTGTTGACATAAGCAAGGTCGTCAGTCAATTGGGCGCAACAAGTGGGGGAAA